CCTTCGCCCCCCCGCCTGTGGCAGCGGCGGCTCCACGGCGCTCCAGCGGCTCCGCGCCTCATGGCGGCCCCCGGCTAACTAACTGTTGGCAATGTAGGGGCCGAGAGCCTAAGAGAGTCTCGTAACTGTAAGGGAACCAGAAGAAGTAAAACCGCGCAACACACCCACTCAGATCTCCTCTCCACCACCGACTCGCCCCGTGTTTACAAACCCGCCCCCTTTATAGTCTTCTCCTAATGCATATTCATGAGGTGGGCGTGGTCAGCACGACCAAGCGTTCGGGCGTTTTCTCGAATCTTCTCGGCTCCTCTGGTGGGGGCGGGGTCTCTGGGCTTTTTCCACTCCTCTTCCCGCCAAAACGAGGATCCTTCTGGTACTTGTCCATCAAAGCAAGGGTCTGCCCGGTGCTTTTCCCACTAGGCCCAGTAACAACACGGCCAAAAGACCAGCACAGCCATTACATCGGGGGAGGTTACAAAGCCTCCAACCAACTTAGAGATAAAAACACAATAACTTTTAACATATATACATCATAAAATATTTTACAACGCATACATTTGTGTTAAAGGTCGATATATTTCATAAACATGAATCATCATCACATTTATTACAATCCCTCGCCTTTTGTTTTGTTGAATTAATCCGTGGTGGGTTTTCTTTAGTCATTATGGGGCTGACACCTGTAATCAGGAGGAAAAACAGACTACGACGTAGTGAGGTCCGGTGTGGCACATTTTTCTGTTTACCCCAGAACCCTTTGGGTTGCTGCCAACGGTCGGGGTTTTTTTTATCTTCTCAACAGCAACAGTGGAAGCCAATCCAGTCTTGCCCTTGCTCGAATTTATCTTTAGTCCTTTTTCCCCTTTTCTGTTACTTTATCCAACTTTTTGTTTACCTATATACAACAGTTTATATTCCTATTAATAAACAGATATTACAAATTATTACAAGATAGTCAACAGACATATACACAGGATTTCAGAAAATTACACAGCAAATACCTTTGATCTCCTTGCTACTGATATAGAGTCCTTTTGTGAAGAATATGGTGGTGATTCGTGTTAAAAATACAATGACTTTAATATGAGGAGCACGTGTGCTACTGGTATTTTGCCACGTGCTTAAGTTAAAAGAGATCTATTGTGGGTTTGTTGTTAAAATGGTTTGGAGGGGGTTTTTCTCAGGAAACACAGACTCATAGGGACTGTTACTGCCAACGTGCAGAAGCACTGGAGGAGGCCCTGTCAGAAGCCCCCAGCAACACCAGAAAGCGTGGGAAAGGTCGAGGGGCCCTGCTGCGCATGTGAAGACGAGGATAGCGCTCCAGAACGGAGTGACGCAGCTCCATCTAGAGTCCGTCGGAGCGGAGCGGAACCCCCCCTGCTCCCCCGCTCCCCGGCTACCGAACCTTTTTGTTTTGCTTGTTCTTATTTCCACAAATTTATAAAAGTTATTTTCTGGTGCTGTCTGTGCATTTTTTTGAATTACTTTTGAATTACTCAGTCTGCTTCAGTGAGTCCAATCTGCGGCTAATTTCAAAGCTTTAGGTCTCCAGGTGCTGATTCAATCTTCCAATTAGGTTCCGTCGTAACAGGTCCTTTTACTCTAGAAATATGAGTCCATCCTCCCTCAGCAGTTCTTACAGCAGTTTCTGTTGTTAGTAGTACCAGGAATGGTCCTTCCCATCGAGGGGAGAGACTCTCCTCTTTCCAAGCGTTAATCATTACTTTGTCTCCTGGTTGTACTTTATGTACTGTAAATCCCAGTGGAGCCGTTTGCGCTAAGATTCCCTTCTTTCTTAATTCTTTTCAATGCTTTTAATATACTGTTGGATTGACATGTCTTCTATTAACGGATGTCCCAGAGGCATACCCTGGGAATATGGCATTTCATATAACTTTTCAAAAGGTGAAATACCTGTTTCTGAATTTGGCATAGTCCAAATATTTAATAAGGCTAATGATAAACACTTAATCCATGATAATTTTGTTTCTATTACTAGTTTAGACAATTGTTGTTTTCAAGTCTCATTCATCCGTTCCACTCGTCCAGAACTTTGTGGATGCCATGGAGTGTGATATTCCCAAGTAAAACCTAGGGCTTCTGTAACTAATTTTATTATCTTAGAAGTAAAATGTGTACTCTGATGTGAATCAAATTCTTTTATAATCCCAAATCGAGGTACAATTTGTTCTAATAAGATTTTAACTACCACTGAGCGTTTGCTCTGGTGGTAGGAAAAGCCTCTACCCAATGAGTTAATTGATCTACCGTCACCGATAGATACTTACACCTCCCAACTTCTGGTAACTCTGTAAAGTCTACTTGGCCTCTTTCAAAGGGTCGGTAGGCTGTTTGCCTTCCACCAGCTGCAGTTTTTGCCTCATAGCCTTTTTATTAACCTTTTGACATGTTAAGCAATCGTGTAGCTTGTTTTGCAATTTCATAAATTCCAATACAACCAAAATGTCTTAGAAAATTATCACTTAGGGCTTTTGCACCCCAACGAGTACTCTGATGTAGTCTATTTATTAATCTTCTAGTATATTCCTTCAGGACCCCTCAATGCTTGTAATACCTGGACTATTAATTCTTGATGCACTAAATCTTTCCCTTGAGTACTGATCATTCCCCTTTCTTCCCAGATCTTTCCAAAGGTATGAACTACCCTGAAGGCATATTTAGAATCAGTATATATAGTACCTTTTAACTCTTTTAAAATTTTAAGGGCCCAATATAAAGCATACAATTTGCATGCTTGGGCTGACCATGCAGGACTGAGGGGACCTGATTCTTTAACTTCCATTTTAGTTCAGTCAAGTATAGCATATCCAGATTTTCGTTTCCCTTTCACAACTCTAGAGGATCCGTCTATGAACAGTTTTTTACCTTCAGACAATTCAATTTCCTCTAGATCAGGTCTTATTTTTGTCTATAGTTCTGTCACTTCAATACACTTGTGATTTAATGTGCTTATGGGATCCCCATATAGGAATTGGGCAGGATTTTGAGCATTAGTTATTTTTAATTCCAATCCTGGTGCCTCTATTAGGATAGTCTCGTATTTTATTATCCGACTATCAATGAGCCACCTCTCAGCTTTTTGTTGGAATACCTCACGTACATCATGAGGGGAAAATACAGTAATAGTAGCTCCAAGGGTTACTTTTCGTGCTTCCTCAACCAATGAGGCTGCTGCCACTAAAGATTGTAAGCAGGTCCGCCATCCCCTACTTATGGGGTCTAACAATTTAGAAAAATATCCCATTGGTTTTCTATCTCCGGCCCAATTTTGACTCAAAACCCCATAAGCAGTTTGATTTGAGGTAGTTACAGATAGCTGAAAAGGTTTCTTAACATCTGGTAAACTTAACACTGGAGGTTTAGTCAGTGCTTCTTTTAATTTCTAAAATTTATTCTCATCCTCGTCCATCCATTTTAGTCAGTCAGATACTAGTTTTTCACATAAAATTTTTACTTTTTCACTGTACCCTTCTATCCATTGTCTACAATACCCTAATAATCCTAATGCTTGACGGATTTCCTTCTTGGATCAAGGTGGTGGTAAGGATAAGATCCCTGACATGCTTTCAGTATCTAACTTCTTTTTCCCTTTGCTTAACCTCTGTCCAAGATATTCTACTTCACTTTCTGTAAACTGTAACTTGGACTTTGACACTTTTTATTCTTTTTCTCCTAGGAAATTACATAACTCTATAGTGCCTGTCCTGGCATCATCCTCAGTTTGTCCGGCTATTAATAAGTCATCCACAAATGTTAATAATAATTCTTCTAACGCCTGTCCAAAGAGGTTAGGCGATTCATTAAATCCTTGGGGAAGCACTGTCCATCTAAGCTGTTGTTTTCTTTTATTAGATGGATCTTCCCATTCAAATGCAAAGTAATCTCTACTCTTCTCATCTAGGGGACATGACCAAAATGCATCCTTTAGATCAATTACACTATACCAGATGTAGCTTGGTAACAGTTGATTAAGTAACATATAAGGGTTTGCTGCTACTGGAAAACGAGTCACAGTTCACTGGTTTACAGCCCTTAAATCCTGTGCGAGTCTATATAAGATCCATCTGTTTTTAAGCCCGGCAACATAGGTATATTGTGTGGAGACGTGCAAGGTTCTAAAGTTCTTTTACTTAGTAATTCATCTATAATTGGCTTCAACCCCTCTCAACCCTTCAGGGGAATGTGGTACTGTTTTATCCAAATTGGTGTCTCATGATCAATTATATTAATTTTAATAGGTTTTATTTCAAGTTTTCCAATTTTTCATTTTGTATACCAAACTTTAGAATTTATCTGTTGCTCATCTCTTTCCCTTGTACTGTTATCTTTAATTTTAATTTTGTAATTCGGTCCCTCCCTAAGAGGTTGTTTTCATCCTCCAGTAATAATAAGAGATCCCTGAGAACTATTCAGTGTGGGGACTCCAACGTTTTTAACAATTTGCACTTTAAATGGTTCCCCTTTTGCCCCTATTACTAAGGCGATTTCTTTTCCTATTTCACATCCCTTTGGTATATTCCTTCTAGTTGATTTCTGAGCACCTGTATCAACTAAAATTTCAAATTCTTCTCCCTGGGGACCTATTTTTAATTTTATCAAGGGCTCCTCTGTTGCTTGTGTCCCCAGGAAATAGAGCCCCTGACACCCCTATTACTCCTTAAACATCCTTTCATCCTGCTCCCATTTTCTCCAATTCCACTTTAAATGTCCTTTTTTTTTCCACAGTAATAACATACAGGTCCATTTTCTTTTTCTACCGTCCTCCCCTTTTCACTGCCCAAAGCTCTGAGAGGTAGGATTTTGGGAGCTTCTCCTCCCTCCTTTGTGTCTCTAACAGCTGCAACAAATACTTTTGCTTTCCCTTTCTGTTTCTCCTCATCCCTCCTAACATATACTTTCTACGCTTCTCTTAACAATTCTTGTAAACCCCAGTCTTGCCAATCATCTAATTTTTCCAATTTCTTTCTAATATCTCCCCGTGATTTGGCTATGAATTGTGTTTTTAGTAAAGCCTCCCCCACCAGGGATGCAGGATCTACTCTCGAATACATTTGCCAATTTTTTCTTAATCTTTCTAGCCAATCAGTTGGGGATTCATCTCTCCCCTGATGTTCACTAAAGGCTTTGTTAATATTTTGCCCTTGCGGAACCGCTTCTCTAATTCCAGCCACTATTAAATTTCTAAGGTCCCTCATACTCTGTCTGCCCTGCTCCTGCTGGTGATCCCAATTAGGGCAGACATTTGGCCCTTTCTGACCTGCTGGCGGCCCCGTTTGATTTTGCTGTTCCCACAAGCCCATTCCTGCTTGCCTAATCTTTTCTTTTTCCTCAGTCGTAAAGAGGATTCCTAAAACTGACTGCATCTCAACCCAGGTATAGGTGTTAGGTCCCAGGAATTGATCTAGTCTTTCAGATACTCTTAAGGGGTCGTCTAAAAGTTTCCCCACTTCTTTTTTAAATGTTCTTACATCTCCGGCGTTAAGGGGGACGCTTACAAATCCTATTCCCCCTGCGCCTCCTCCCGTAGGCACTTCCCGTAAGGGGTACAGATTGCCTCCCCAAACCTCTGCCCCATTTTCTTCTAGTTGTTTTTGCCTCTCCTGGTTACAGGTTTGGCTAGCTGGGGGAGGGGAAGGAGCACTAGGTTTCAGTTCCTCGTCCTCTGAGCTTTCTCCATACAGAGGAGGAAGATTTTCTAAAGGTTCCCATTCATAGTCTTCTGGAATTTTTTTGATATATTTGGGAACCTCTCCACATACGAGCGTAATTGCTCTCTTCCCAGTTGAAAGGTTCTTTATTATTTACGTATGAATTTAATGCCTGACATGTCCAATCGTCAGTAGATCTGAATTTTTGCCACAATAAATGATCAGACTTAATAGGTTCTTTAGTCCATTCAACCATACAATATTGTATCATTTTTTCTTTGCTTTTCCATTTTGTTTCAGACCAATCAGACCAATTTTTTAATATACATCCCAGGGGACTGTCCTGGGGAATATCGGGTAAATCACTCCCTTTCCTAACCTTGGAACCTCTCCGTGGGTTCCCCGAGCCATGGGATTTACTCCCCTTCTGGTCCATGTTCCTGGGATAAAAACTAATCCCGTTTCCCCTACCTAAGTCCTGGGATACAATTGATCCTGTATCCTTTGCCTGAGTACTTCCAAGCTTTCCTCTCGCTTCGCCCCTTCGCCATCCAGCCCCCCCATGGGACTCTGGAACCGTGGCTAGAAGGGCTCCGCACTCACTTCGTGACGCTGTCATGTCCCACTCACACCACACTCACTCAGGCAGAAACCCTCCCCAACCAAACGTCACTCACAGTCCGAGATCCTTGCTTGGATCTTCGTATGCACAAACAATTATGTTTCCGGAAGCCCTTTTGAAATCTCAATTTTTCTTTTGCTTGTCCTTATTGCCGCTGGTTCATGATACTGCTAGCCCGAAAGAGCACTACGAGTCCGGGGACCACCAAAAAGGTGGGGCATCTCCCCCAAAAACCAATACTCCACAGGTCCTGCAGTATCAGGTCAGGGTCACAATTGTTATAAATTTAGAGGCAGAAGCTGAATATAGTTTTATAATTTTATTTGAAAGAGGAAATAGGAACAAGCAAAACCGCACGGGGTACGCTGGGGAGTCACCGCTCCACAAGCGACATACACAGTTCAAAACAAACTCACTCTTTTTACAGTCTATTTTAATACATATACATAAAGGGGGCGTCTCTCTTCCAAAAAGTATCCATCTTTGGTCTGAGCAAGTGTGGTGGAACTTCTTGAAACTTCTTGGATTTTCTGGTATTGTAAACAAGGGTCTTAATAGTACTTTTCCACTCTCCCCTGGTACAAGGGTCTCCTGCCTGGTACTTTTCCATTCTCCCTTCACCCATGTGCAGAAACAACATAGTCAAAACATAGTCTGAGGTTACAAAGCCTCCAACTGACCTAACAGCAAAACCACAGTAATTTTTCATTTTAACATATATATATATACTGCAAAATGTTTACGGTCCATTGGATTCTTCTATGTCTGCATTACAGATCAATATATTTCATAACAGGAAACACCATTACATTTCTCACAGACTTCCTTGATCAGAGTTCAATCTTGCTCATCACTTCACTAAACAAAATCCTATATGCATCAAGACTGAAGAGCACCACAAGTACATTCTGCAAAGCCACTAGCAAAACATGAATTTAGCTGAACTACCCATTTTCTCTCTGAAGTCATCTGCATGACAGATTTTTCGCCAAGCCAGATCATTCTGAGAAAACACGCTCAGATATTGGTTAACTTTGAGCAGCTCCCTTTGATCAAAACCACATGGATGAGCAGCAACCAAGTTCCCAAAAGCATCAGCCAGCAAACATGCTAAAACACACCTCCAAAACCGCTGCATCTGCCTGCATGTAGGTTGCTTCTAAAGCAGACAGTGAAGCACAAAGAGCCCTGACGTAGAAAACCGACTTCTCACTAAGAGCTTTGGGGATTTTGCTCAGGACTGCCTCTAGCTTAACCCTGTAAACCGGATGCCCATTACCATCGGAGGGACATTAGGCATGCTCCTGGACTACTCTTTCAACCTAATTTCACCAGAGGAGTGCAGCTGAAGAACTCTGAGACCACCCTGCAGCGTGAAGCCAAGCATGGAAACGGGTATGACTGGATATTCACCTGACCGACACACTACTGACCCAAACTAAAATGCTAACGCTGACCCACACCAACACAGCCACAAAATCAAAAAAGCAATAGTTGCAGGTAGTTTCCCAAGTACCGCAGAAAAATATTGCTCCCTTCCCACATGAAAGAGACCTTTATCTCAAAGACCATGAATGTACAGGACACACATGACTATTTGAGAGGCTTACCTCCCTCCAAAAGAAAACTTCAAGGCGGGGAAGCTCAAATTATTTTATTCTTTTTAAATTCATATCATTCATCCACTACCTTAGAGAAAATATCTTAGAGCGAGTTTGAAAGGAAAGCAGCTCTGGTCACTGACGCATTGCATTTTTCTATTCAGCTATTTCAGCTCAATGTTTTATAGCTTACAATGCTACAGTCTGTTACATGTTAAGTGCACACTGCTGTAAAATACCCACAGAGACACATTTAGACATTAGCTAGTTTTAACACTGGCCGGTACTACTTCACTAAAAATCAGCAGAACTTGCTCTACTGATAGCACTTTAATAAACATGAGGCAGCATCATTGTCACGGATGAAAGTTTTAACACGGTAATGATTTGACAGGAATTTTATATTTATTAATAAATAAAAGCAATTGACAATGTACAAAATAATTTAGAAGATATTATAAAAATAGCAACTTATTTACAGATCCTAGGATGCCAAGATTAACACTAACTTACTTCTGGTATCTTAATTTATACATATGTACATGCACATACACAAACACAAAATGTACAAACACACAGATGAACAGTGGATCCAGTAGAATGAACACAAAACGTACAAACACAGGCAGAGACAAAAGTATTCAGATTCAGTAGAATGAAGTACGTACCCACACACCATTAAGCAGATAAAAAGCAGGTGAAATAGAAGCCAGATCAAAGAAAAATTTCCGTCCTCTAGAGTTTAAATGCTCCGAATGCCTTGTCATTCCTCAACAGGCGATCACTGAGACTAGAGCGGGGGGACTTTACCTTGGCCTTCCGTCAGCTCTGGCAGCAGATGACACTTAAAGGGTTTTGGTAGCTGAGAGGCGTCCCAGCTCAGGGGAGATGCTGGTCACAGTGGTTGCAGTTTACAGGGTCCGAGATAATTAACTTCTGTCAGATGCCTTTTGCTCAAGCCCAGCTCGAACAACAAAGTACTCTGGTGCCTTCCAGCAGTTGCACAAGAACTGGATGAACGTGCAACTCTGCTACTTTTCCTATTTGACCCCATCCCAGGCCCTTAGGAGATGATGGGCTCTTAAAAACGTTTCTGAGCAATCTGGGGTGGGGGGAGGGCAGGAGCCAGGCTCATCAAGGGAGCCCCTTAACGTTAGCAGTTCTTATCTCCACAGCCTGGTGTATAGTTCGGGGGAGTGGGTGGAATCACACCTGGCAACAAGCAGCCCAGCAAGGGGGAGAGAAGAAGGGTAAGGATTACACCATCACAATCATACTTCAGCTTAGAGCACTGCACATAGTTTACCCTAACAGAACTCATACTTGTTTAAAAAACAACCCAAGAAAAACTTGACTTTTTTTAGCTTTATTAATAAAATGAAGAAATAAAAGATTGCTGTAACATTTAGAACATGACACCAGAGAATTATAAAACAGCAATGAATCCTAATAAAAATTACAATCACATATACTAAGAGCAGTCCCTGTCCCTGGGAGCCAGCTATGCATAGTGTTCTTCCTGCAAATAGCCCATCATCTTTCCAGAAAAGAGAAAACCCTATAAAATCAAAAGGCATCAGTAAATAAAGCTGCCATTTTACACATTTCCAACTTACTGGACAGTAATTCACAGAAAGTAATTAAAAGTCCGTGCTCCTGTTTTTAATACAATCATGCCACCGGAGCACAAATGGGAAGAAGCACTTCTATTTACACTTAGTTTTCAAAACTGTGTGTACATGGCCATCATTTAAAGTGCAAGCTACATGTTTGCTGAATTATCTGAAGGCATAACAGGCAAGATGTAAGTTAAAATACTGCCACCAGTAGTTATACAACTAGCCACAGATGCCAGTACCATATTTCAAACCCTGACCAACTTAGTGTGCTACTTCCTATCGTATATTACCAGCCGAACACATATTCCATTGCTTTAGATACAATGCTCTCATCTTTCCGAGGAGTTTGTCTGTCAGAAACCACCTAGAAGCCAGAGGGACAGAGGGAGAGAGAAAATAAAGAGAATCGGTCAACACAGAGTTGATTCTTTTAATACTAACCAGGTTTTTTTCTTTTCTGAAGTGCTACTGTATTTTGACAAAATATGTTTGAAAGATTTTCCAAACAAGCTCTTAACCTCTGGAAAAGTGACAGGTCATCAATGTATTATTTGTTATTATTATCATCACTTCAGAGACTGAACAGACTGAGTTTGTACTTGAACCACAACTTTAAAGAAATGACAGCAGATAAAGGCTGGCTAACGTCACACTGATGTTAACATCTGTACAGCCTCAAGGCAACTAAAGGGATATAGCACAATGAAACATGCTTCTGTTTCCCTTAAAATACCTGATAGTCACTAGTGGAAGCTTTATATGCCGTTGCAAGCGGTCTCATTGTAGAAATTCTTGCAGTATTATTTGCAGGTTGTACTGGTGTGCTGACAGATTTTGTAGGTGGAGTGGAAAGTGAAGACTTTGAGGGTGCAGAGCTTCTTTCAAAGTTTTCCATCACACCCTTAAAAAGATGGTTAATACAATGTAAATAAATACTATGAAACAGTAATTCAATATTTATTATAAATACTACCGAGTATTACCTATTATCTAGACTTATTTGAAAAAGTATTTACACGTCTCCAAGTAAGCAAAGACCACAGGTAAATGGCCTGTCACTACAGACAGAGCACACAAGCACACACCACCACTACCAAGACATTTCCTCACTGGAATCATTTACATGTTGGGTTATGCCATTGCAGAGTAGTGGAAGCCTGTCATCTACTCACTGGATGTACTGGACGACAGCCAAGTTTGAAACACTATAGAGAAACTAAAATGTAAGACTCATGGCTAAATCCAGGCAGTAACTTTTTCAGGCCCACTTGAACTAAGTAGCGTAACATCTCTCTAAACACTTGTAAAATAGTTCTCCTGATCCACACAGGACAGTCTCCAAGCCTTTACCAACTCGCAGCTCTTTGCTCAGATTCAACTTGCCAAGGAATTTCACCCAGTCCCCTTAGCAAATGCCAGAAAAGGAGTCAGAATGCTCCGTTTTGCAAGCTTAAGTTTAGAAAGAAACGCATGTAGAACGGAAGAGGCAGCAAGTGACTTCATAGGAAACACGAGCTCCACAGGAACCCAGAGAAAACAAGACGGGAAATGACAACCAGCCTGGGAAGATCCTATTGGCTTCATTTAGACTCAATGGAGCACAGCACTCAACCAGCCTGAAGGCAGCAGAAATTGCAAGGGAGAGCTGGCAGGGAACAGCTAGCCAAAATACAGGACAGCACTGGTGTCCAGGGTGGGTGGCAGCTGACTCTGCTCAGCTCAAGGGGAACCCACAGAACTAACTGCTACTTGAAAATCAGAAGCTGGAGCACTGCTGTCAAATCCATCGCATCCAGTTTTCAACTGCAAGGAGGAGTTTCACAGTAGAATGCCAAGCCCTCAAGGAGCTGGTCTCCAGAAATCTCTCTTCCCTCCAAAATTACAGGTTATGAGTTTATTTATTGACATTCGAAAGCGGACACTCCGCACCAAAGAGACAGAGAATCCAAAAGCAAAATGATCGGACACCTGACAATGCAGTGTCTGAGACTGGAGTTCTCAAACTTTCCTTCACCACAGACCCCCTTTAAACGCCTTCCGTGGCTGCGGACCACCAAGACTTATTTCAAGATTTAAAGCACTAGACCACATCAAATATTTAGTTCCATTTTCTCATGGAGGATCTTCAAATTTGGCAAAAAGGTGAAATAAGGTCATCTGTTCATGCACACACACCTATTACAATATCTTTAACCGCAATGATTCCATATGACTTTAATATAACAGCATCACCACTCTTCTCAAAGGGCTCATTTTATTGTATTTTAACATGTAAATTCCAAACTTGATGCCAATTTTTACACTACAATTTGATGAAAAGCTTTACAATTCTTTTCACCCCCACCTCCTTCTTTGTCTCTGTGTAGTCACCATATGTTTTTATTTATGGGTCCACGACAACCACTTGGAGGAAGACTTCAGCCCTGTAGTGGCAGGGTCGTTGGGTTAAGAAAATGTCATTAAAAAAGAGTGGGTCCCACCACCCCTGCTAGCACTGATATGTCAGGGCAGGAGTGGGGTAGGGACTGAAGTCTGAGAGAAGCATTGAGGGATGGGGCTGTGGGAAAAGGAGACACAGGGCTGCCATGGGCCTGACCAAATCCTTCCAGTCTGGCAGACTAAGATAAACTGAAAAGCCAGGATCACATAAAGAGTCACATGAAAAAAGGGAAAATTAGGAGTAGTAACAGTCTTAAGCTGCCATCACGCATCTATTTCAGCACCCAAAGGCCAAAAATTCCACTCTGGGAAACTCTTTTATCCCAACTGACTCATACGTTATGGTTTAACTTCATGTCTTGTGCAGCAATGTCACTCCCTGCATTGCGACTTTCAAGGAGCACCAAGGTTTCCCATCATGACCCTTCTCAGCAGGAAATTTAGTCAAATACTCAAGAAAAACTCATGTAAGGAGTTATAACCGACTATGCCTATATAAACCAACTACCACTGCTTTGCAATTCAAGAAGAAAAACAGTTAAAGGGGTCACGGAAAACAGAGGAAGCCCAAAAGCAGAGTGCCTTGTATTTAAGTAAAAGCAGCCGTTAACTTACTTTATCTATGCAGGGCTTGACACCAATCATGATGGATTCACCAAAAATCCTTCCATCTTTGCTTAAGGCTTTCCGGGCTTGAAGCTTAGACTGGTATCGAATATGCATCCAGTTCCCTGTGTTGGACATCTGTATGAGATTAAGGGAAACTGTGAAATTCAGCCTCTTCAAGAATGAGACAGAATGTTTGCAGAAACAAGTCAAAAACTAAGACGTACCACATGCTTTAATATATTTCCATACTGAGCAAACTGTAGAAGAATATATGAAGCTGATGCCTGAGGAAATCTGAAAGACAGAAAAACAACCTCAGAATATTGTAAGGAGTAGTTGAAGAATTCTGGTGCTCAAGTACAACCCTACGAAGGGTTTTTAGAAATCCAAGAGACCACCGTGTTAATGCCATTGCAGCAGCAGTGACTCGAGGAATATTATCTCCCTGGCATTTTTACCTCACCACACACCTCAGTGGGAGAACTGAAACCTGAAAAAATTAACATGTAGCTTAAGGAGCTTCACTAAAATATGTGCATTTGCTGGCTTTAACCACACCTGGATTTCTGCAGCACCTAGGACTGCCACACGACAGCAACGCCCAAGTACTTCTTTCCATATGTTGCAAAGACTTCACCCATGGTTTTTCTAATACTTTGAAAACCAACTTACCCAAATACAGTTACCCAGGTGTCGTCAAGTTGATCATCTGAAGTCAGGGAATCACCCTG